TTAAAAAGAATTTCTCTAATACAGTTTTTTCCTTTTAGTTCCAGCTCAGCAGTCAAGGACCCAGGCCCTGTCCATTCTTCCTCTCTTCGGCCCTTACCTTACTAGTCTTCTTTCTCAAGTCATAGTCTTATGTCCCTAGTATGGCTGCTGTAGCTCCAGGTACCACATCCTTACTAATAAAATCTTCCAAAGCAGGGAGGGAGAAGAGCAGCTTCTCACAGAGCTCTTTATTTTATGAGGTGGAGGAAAATCTTCCCTAGAGGTCCCCTAGCAGGCTTAGCTTCCTGTAGGCTAGAACGAGCTTGCATGTGCACCCTGAGATCAGTGAGGGGATCAAGAGTGTCCTGATCAGTGCCCAACATGACTTGACCCCTGGGCCTGGGTGATCCGCAAGAGGGGATGTTTGACCTGCTGATCTCACTCTACCTTTGTAGTCTGCAGGCAATAGCATCCACCCCTTCCCCAAGTATTACTGTATTCATTTTCTTCTTTTACAGCATTTTCTTTCTCCTGGCTCCAGCTTCCCGGGAGGTGAGTGCTTTGCATTTCCCCACTTGTAATCGCGCTCATCTGCTTCCATTCCTTCTCTCCATTCTCTCTCTGGAGTGCGATCTCAGCATCCCTCTCCCAAGCGCAGGCCTCCACCAGTTTAAGCTTTGCTCTGTCTCCCTCTCAACGGTTCCTCAGAACTGGCCTCCAAGGGAAGTCAGAAGGCTTCCTATAGATTTTAAGAAGTTTCAGACAGCGCCACTACCTGTATCTCTTTGGGGCTGATACTCTTTAAACACAGAGGAATCATGTTCTGGGACAGAAGGTCAAAAGGTGAGCACTTGCTCATTATTTCCTTCCCGTTGTTCCCTCACCCCAGAGTTATTTCCCACTTCTGATTCCCGTCTCCTGGAAGCTCTGGCCTGACCTTTTTCCCAGGCACCTTTCTACTGGTACTGATGCTCTTCTTCCACCGTTCGAATGACTCTCACATCTTTCATCCACCTTCTGCCTTCTTTCCACCTTCACCAGCCCAGACCCTGACTTGTTCTGGCTCCTCCCAGGGATCAAGCTGAAGCAGATCCATCTCTCCTGTCCTGTGCCACCGCTTCCCTGTCCCAGAGGGTGCAGGCACAGCCCTCTGAAGGCTCCTGTCGGGGTGACACATTCAACTCAGGGAAAGCAGCCCCTTAGCCATCTCCCCCGTAGGTCCTTCCTGCTCCGCAGCCACCTCTGCCCCCCTCTGAGCTTGTGGGGCCTCATCACCCTGCCCTCAGTGCGGGTGGCCTGCAACCTCTTTACCAGTTTCTCAATGCCTTCTTGGGTAGCTTTTCTGGGGCTTTGAAGGCCCCGTTCCCTGTAAGCAGAGACAGAGATAAACCCCACCGCTCCTTCCTCCTGTCTTTCTGGATTGAGCTGCCTTAGGTTTTGGTGAAACCTCTTTTCTTCGGGGATAGTTCCTCTTGTAAACCTTTAAAATCGTGCTTAATCCATCAAGTGTATTGTTGGTCAAATTTGCATATAATTAAATAAATTTTCATGTAATTAATAGAATGTATACTGCTAATAAACTTCATTCTCCAGAATCTTCATTCTCTAAAATCACAGAAGGGGGGCTGGGGATTTAGCTCAGCGGCAAAGCGCCTGCCTGGCAAGCGCAAGGTCGTGAGTTTGGTTCCCGGTACCGGAGAAAAACCAAAAAAAAATAAAAATAAAAATAAAATAAAATCACAGAAGGTCAACAGCTTGACTGACCCAGGGAAAACAGAGCCTTTCGCTCTTGCTCGGAGGGTCCAAGACACTTTGACCCAGAGATGCAGCCTGGTTTTCAACCCACCATGGCTTGGGGTGAGGACTTTTTATACACACAGTTCTACCTTTATCCTTATTTTATGGCTTTCAGAGAAACAGGACCCTGCATTGGCATCTCAGCCAAGGCCCCGGGTTAACCTCTTTACCCACGTGTCTGGTTTGCTTTGAGCCAAGCAGCACTGTTTCATTTACATCTCTCTCCACCCTTACCCAAACACCCTGGCTCCTTTCCTGGAGTGTGGACGCTCTCACTGCTGCAAGATAATCAACCTAACTCCACCGAGCTCCAGCTGCACAAACCAGGCTCTACCACTACATCGAATGAGACCATTGCTCTAGCCCACGTATTCTCAGATTCTCAGCTGGAGAATACTGTCCCCCAAAAGGTAAAAATGAGAGCTTAGGAAGCAAAACAAACAAACAAACAAAACAAAACAAAAAAGTACAGTGGGTTGGATCCTTCCAAAAGACCACACACATAAATAGATGCACAACATGTTTGTTCCATTGAAATTGCATGAGCCGGGAAAGAAAGGGGCTGCATAGGAAAAATAAAAAGTATCCAAAAAGTCTCCATAAGAGGACAACAAGGCACAAAGTCTAGGAAATATTAATTCCTATCTGTTGGGGACCACTACAAAGTGGCTCTGAGCTGGATTTAATATTAACTAATTGGCTTTCTGTGTTTATTTGCGAGTTGTCTGAAGCTTAGGCACCTTGTCTGCCACCTCAATTAACTACAAGGAGACTGCAGCCGCAGGCATCTCACTACTGCTGTGAAGGCCTTCCTGGAGATGACATAGTTCTCCTAAATTAACATAATGTATTACTTGAAAAAGTCCTGCCCAGATTTCCCCCCTTTCTTGAGCATCCTCCTCCTTTGTTTGTAAACAAAATAAACCCAGAGAAGTCTTTGGTTAAACTCAGAGAATATCAAAGTTGTAAGAGAGTTAGTCCCTCCTGGAGCCCTAAAATCATTTCCATTGTCTCATGTATTTAAGCCTTCGCTATTCTCTCACTTGGGAGATTGCGGGCCTGATCAGCCTGCAATAACTTAGGGTTATTTAACCTGGTTTTCGATACTATCAACATTAATACTTGTCTGCCATGAGTCAAGTGCCCAATCATTGGTTCTCTTTTGCAGTGGCACTGTGGGTCCTTCTCATCTCTGTCTTGGGAGATCCCATCTGGTTTGAGCCTTCCAGCATCCCCAGGGCTTCCACCCTTGCTCCGATCCCCCCGCCCGTGGGAGACTCTCACAGGGAAGAGAGCTGATGCTCTGTTATCCACACATGCACTCCCACCACCACCCCGCCCCCTTCCATGCTCCTCTCCCTGCAGCCATAAGATCCATCATGCATTCCAAGAGCCCTTTCCCTTGGCTTTAGGGAGGATGTCGAAAACAACTACAGCACTCCCCTCACCACTACCCAGGTGTCTGTTCTAAGTGCTGATGACTTCTGCTCTCCCCACTCCCCCCGTCTTTTGCTTAGTCCCACTGGGAGGGGGTGATGCCAGGGATGGTTGGGGATAGCAGAGTCAATTAAGCTGCTTCTAACTCCTTACTATAAGCCCTGGACATACAGTAACACTCTTGTTCCTCAGGGCTTTCTTTAAAATGTGAAGCATCAACTCCTCCTTCTCAGATTTGGAGCATCTTTAGGACCCATTCTGGAGTCTCAGGATTCCACAGCACTGGTCTCCTTTCAGGTCCATGTAAACCCATGTTAGCATCAACTTTGTAGCAGCCACTGTGGTGAATCCTTTAGACAGGACAGATGAGCAGTGAGAGAAATAATTCATGTCTCCATTTCTACACAGACACGATGTCTCTTTCTACCTGAAACATGGTCCCCTACCCACAGCCAGTCCTCAGTCTCCCAGGAAGAATTCACATAACCAACTTAGTATTAAAATCCCTGAAGTTCCGAGTCCAACCATCTACACTTAGTAGGTGCTCAACAAAGGCTTTTTACAGTAAAAAGCAAACAGGTACGGGTACTGTTTTGGTTCCCTTGCTGAGAAGAGGGGACCCTGACCAGCTGTCTCTTCAGTGGAAAATGAAAAGTTAATGACATTTCCATGAAAATAACCCATGAAAACATCCATCTGTTTTTGTAGTGAAGTCAACCATGTTAATGACCTTAATTAATCTGGTTTTTTTTTTTCAAGAGGGTTTCTTTCCTAGGAAGAAGATGTGCCAACACAGGTAGTCAATCTGCTTTGCCTCTGGTTCTGCTTCTCTTCCGGGTTTGTTTACATTTTCCTGGTCACAATGCATCCCCTGACTTTGGAGGTCTGACTAAACCAGGTCACTCTCACGGACATGCAGCTGAAATGGGGCCCCAGAGCGTGTTGGGAGCCCCCATGTTTTAGAGTAAATGTAAGTCTAACTTTTAGTGCTTCTTCAGATACCCACTAGTTCTGGGATCTGAGGTAAGAGACTTTCTTCTCTGGGCCACCCCTCACCTAGATGTGTCCAACCTGTGGTCTGCAGTTGGCCATGCTTATGTTATGTTATAATAAAATACATATGAAAATTTGGTTACTTGCACACATTAGTAAGATTATATATTGTCTCACTCTTTCTCTCCCTTTCTTATTCTGTGTGTGCGCATGTGTGAATGCATGTGTGTTCGTGCATGCATGTGTGTGTGTTATTGGGGACTGAACCTGGGACTTTTGCACTGAGCTACCTCCTCAGCCTTTTTTAAAAAATTTAAGACAAGGTCCTGCTAAACTGCCCAGACAGGGCTTAAACCTTCAATCCTCTTGCCTCAGCCTCTCAGAATACCGGGATTGCAGGTGTGTGCCCCCATGCCTGGCCTGTATTTTTGTATGCTTCTCAAGACAATTCCTCTTCACTCGTGCAGCCCAGGCCACCAGGTGCAGCCCACTTGCGGGCTGTGGGCTAGACACACCCAAGTGGTGATACTGACAGTACCTATCCTGTGGCCACAAAGGCTGGAAGAAGAGAACACATCTGCCTACTTCTCCTTAAGGCAGGTTTGCTATCATTTTCATTTCTCCGACCCAGACCCTCTTGCTAGCATCCAGGCATCTTGCCCTTTAGCCCTCCTTCACAGTCTCTGTGTTTGTGCTTCCACCCACCACATTTACCATGAGAAAGAAACAAGAGAACAAGGAAAGACCATTTTCTTTTGCTTGCCACCAAATTTATTTGGGTCACTTTGCTTCTGTCATGGTTCATAAGCATCCTTAAAGATCTGAGTTGGTTGAGCAATAGAAACTTTCTGGAAAAGCCCCTCCGAGGGAGGGCAGGTTTCACTCTTCCCTGGAGCCCTGTGTCCCCTGCCCCTGACATCTGGACAGGAGTAGCTCTGAAGGCTGGATTCCTACCCTTTCCTGCCCAGAGTCACGGACAGCTCTTTGTCCGAGCACTGGCTCGTTTTCCTCCACAGCAGCCTCTCAAGAGTGGGAGGAAGGGAAGGGAGGTGGGATCTCAAGAGTTCGGCACATCCCTAGGAAGTCCAGGTGGCTGCTCTGTCCTTGAGCTGCACCGGGACCCAGCCTGCTGCTGCAAGGTCCTGCCTGGCTTGAGTTAAGCTCTGCCGTGAGTACATACACTTGCTCTGCCTTCCTGCCCCAGAGGAGCTCAATTTCAGCACAGGCCATAAGGCCAACTATTCTGAAGCCTTCCTCGAGTCTACCCCTGATTTCTAGGTTGGACAGTCCTGCGCCAGCCACTCTCCTCCGTCCTTGACCTTCAGTTCCACACTAACCTCCTGGCTGCCAGGGCCCCAGCCTCCAGTCAGCCTCCCCAGCAGCTCGTGGAAGTCCACTTGGAACCTTGATGATGAGAAGTAGTAGACAAGGGGGTCGACACAGGAGTTCAGAGTGCTGAGGAGCAGCACGTAACTCCTCCACGTCGGGCTCTTGCCCTGAATGTAGCCAACCAAGTGTGACACGTTGTAGGGCCCAAAGCAGACAAGGAAGTTGAGCAGTGAGGCCACCACCAGCCCCGCCACCCTCCTGCGCCGGCGTCTGCTGGAGCTTCGGCCGAGGATCCATACCAGGCGGCTGTAGCAGTAGCTGGTGATGAGCAGAGGCACCCCGAAAAGGACCACACCCATCTCCAGCCGGACGGGCAGCAGAATGGCCAGCTGGTCCTTTCTGAATTCCAGGTAGCAGGTCCCATTAGTGCCCTGGCTCTGGGTGAAGTTCCCCCAGAATTCAGTGACATAGACCACACTGCAGTGAGCACCCGCCAGGAACCAGCAGATGCCACTGACCAGCCCCGCCTGAGCCAGCCTCGGCCGAGTCTTGTACCACAGAGGGTAGGCCACGCTCAGGAGGCGCTCGACGCTCACAGCCGCCAGGAAGAGGGAGGTGAGATAGATGGTGGTGAAGAAGAGGAAGCCGGAGAGTGGGCAGAGGATGAAGGGCAGGGGCCAGCGCATCCCGCTGGCCGCCTCCACCATGCGGAAGGGCAGGAAGAGCAGCAGCAGCAGGTCCGAGAGGGTCAGGTTGAGCAGGAGCACATCCACAGCCACTGGGCGGCGCCGAAGTTTACCCACGAAGATCACCAGGGCCATCAGGTTCAGGGGCAGCCCCACCAGGAAGGCGAATAGGTACACGGAGAAGTAGAGCCAGTGGTTTCCGGGGAAGAAGGACCGGTCTGGGTTTATCTCCATCATCAGGGCCAGCTGGTGCAAGACAGAGACGGAGGTGGCAGTCTGGGTGGGGGTCTTCCTGTCCCTGTGCACAGCATCTCACACATCAACCAGTAACCTTGTCACCAAGGCCACCCTGCACTTCCCCACATGTTTTTCCCGGCAGAGTCAGCTCGCCTGCCTTCCTGGTCCTACCCTGTCTCCTGTCATTCCCCGAGCACAGAAAGCACCAAAGCACTCACCCACCCAGCCCCTCGGCCCCACGCTCACCTGCTTAATGGAGAACCCAAGCGCTCTGCCGTGCAGTACCTTGCCGGCTTCTGCAGACCAAGTGGGTGAGCTATTTATTTGCAGAAATGATAAAGACCTGGCAGTGCCCATGACGTCACTCACTGTGGAACAGCAGCACAAAAGATGCCTTGAGCTCTGTTACCAGGGTTGCATCAGTATGCAAAAAGAAGAGCAAATTCCACAACCGTGTGCCTCACTCCTCTAGCCGCTCAGCTGGGATGCCCCAACCAGGCCCAAGCCAACTCCGACTTCTCCTCCCCTCTCTTCACTTGCATTTTGTCCACTTGTCTAGAATGGCATTGTTCCAGTTTGCCTTGTAAGGGCAGGAGGCGTGATAGGGTGACAGAGAGCTGGGCTCTGGAGCTGGCTCTCTTTCCTGCTAACTTTGCGATTTGGGGAGAGTGACTTCAGTTCTCCGTGTTCTCCCTTTCCTTGTCTATAAAGGAGGGACAATTGTGGTAATAATCTTATAGACTAAGATATTAATATATGTCAGATGCCTGGAACACAGCCTGGTACTGTCCCTGCTGTAGTCCTTGGTTTGATGCTGGCTTGTCACTGCAATGAAGATGATGATGGTGGGGGGTGACGACAGTAGCAACTACTCTAGAGACATACGTCTCTACACCTTAGGGCACCACAGTTTTATATCTTGCAGTCCTTTTACCCCACAATGGGGCAGTGACTTGCTCCAAATGAATACCTTGTTAAATATCACCACCAAGGTTCAAGCCCAAGTTCCAGCCAGCTTCAGAGATAAGGTATTCGTTCACTAAAATACTTACCAATTCCAATGCAATAGCATTTCCCACCCACTAGAAAGGTTATCAACTAAAAGTCAGGCAATAGTTAGACAATGACAAGCCCTTGACACTCCTCTTCTCCCCCTATGATGGCCAGAGTGGGGGTGGTTTGGTCAACAGTTGTCACATCCCCTTCTCCTTGTTTCCTTTTGCTTACCTTCGGTCCCCCCTAAGTATAGACTGGGACAACTTGCCTTGGTGTCCTCCTAGGCTACTTTGCAACCACTCATCTGGCTGGTATGACAAGAGGTACAGCGTGGCGGTGGCTGAGGTCCCCACCCCTGCAAGGCACACATGCGGCTGCTGCCTTCTCTAAAGAAGCAGTGGGAAAACACCCCAAGGTAGGGAAGATCTGGGAGGGATCCAGACCGATTATTAGCATCTCCAACTTCCCGAAGCCCCAGTAAGCTGTGGTTAACACAGCTAGCTCTCCTGAGGATTCCTTAGTTTTGGCCCTGCCATTTTTGGGTGGAGACATGACAGCTGTCAATCAAACAGCAGTATCTCCTGAAGTCCCCAGTACTGCCTCCATGACAGCTGTGACCATTCTTGATGCCCCATACCTGCAGTGGGAGATGTCTGCTTTGACTCTACCAGGCCTGAATTTGAACCAAGTCGTAGAATTGAATTTGGACCAATCAGTGTGTTCCAATCAGAAAGCTTGAGTGGGGGCTGGGGATTTAGCTCAGCAACACAGCGCCTGCCTGGCAAGCGCAAGGTCGTGAGTTCGATTCCCGGTACCGGAAAAAATAAATAAATAAGTATTTTTAAAAAAGAAAGCTTGAGTGTAGACCAGTTGGGACTAAGTAGCAGGCTTAGATTTAGAGCGATCAAAGGTTAGAATTTAGACCTATCTGCTGGCTTGAATTTGGACCAGTCACAGGGCTGCATATATATATAATATAATTACCACTCCCCTTACACTTTTAAGATTGGTCTAGGAGGACTTCCTCTTATGCACTGATTCCTCAGAGCATGCATAGGTCCTGTTCAAGTAAAGCATCACTCCAGTGAATCTACTTGTGATTTATTTCCCAGATGCTGTGGTCTTGAGACTCTTATCCTGAATAATGAGCGCAAAGTGGTTGTTATTTAAAAAAAAAAGCTATAAACACTAAGGATGCGAGCTCTGAAGAGCTCCAGAGACCAGGAGCTGACAGGGAGCAGTACAGGCAACTGGCAGAGTTGACCGGTGGCATCCAGTATTGGCGTTTAGAATTAACTGGAGTCTACCAGCACCAAGGCTCTGAGCTGTTCCTATTTGCAGTAACCCTAAGGGCTAAGGGCCATTGGTGCTCAAAGCCTGGAGCTGCTAGCAGAGCTACACTTTGCTGATTCATGCTTTCTACCTGAATTGAGCGAAAGAACTCTCAGCTGATTGGTGACAGTACCAAGTGTTGGCGAGGATGGAGAGAAACCAGAGCTCTCATTCACTGCTGTGAGAACGGGCAAAAGTACAGCTACTTGGGAAAACAACTTGTCAGTTTCTTAAAAAGTTAAACATAAATTTACCATGAGGCCCAAGGAGTTCATTTTAGACATTTACTTACAAGAAATGAAAACATATGTGCATGCAAAGACTTTCTCATAAATGTTCATAATAGTGTTAGTCACAATAGCCAAAAAGAAGAAATATCACCATTAGCTCATGAATGAATAAACAAATGTGGCACATCCATACAATGACATTCTATTTGACAGTAAAAAAGAACAAACTACCTACACGTACTACAGCAAGGATGAACATAATGCTAAGTGAAACAAGCCAGACATAAGACCATATTTTATATGATTCCATTTATATGAGCCGTCGAAAATAGGCAAATTTAGAGACAGAAAGTAGATTAGTTGTTAGCCTGGGGATTGAGGGCAGAAATGGAGATGAACTATAAATGAATGAAAGTATCTTAGTGGGTGGTGAAAGTTCTAAAACCCGGATTATAGCAATAGGTGCATGTATCAGTAAATTTGCTAAAATCCATTGACTTGTATGCTTCAGCATGGGTGACTTTTATGATATATACATTATATCTCATTTAAATTGTTGAAAGTATAGCTGGGAACAAAAAAAACTTGCTGTATCATGGTTATATTGGGGGAGGGGTAGAGTGGGAGTATAACAGAGCCATCAAAATCAAAGAGGCAAAGAGAATCGGAAAACAATGCAGGCAGAAGGACTGTAGGTGTACAGCTTGACCTGCTAAAGGAAATGGTAGAAGGTTTAGGGCTCAAGAGGAGTAGAAGCTGGGGTGGATCTCACAGGACCTCCCAGGCCCCAAGAAAAAGCTAGATATTCCCCTAAGAGGAAGGAAGCACAGGTAACTGGGAGCAGTGACCCAGCATCCAGCAGGGGCCCCAGAGCCATGGGAATAAGGGTGAGTCCTAGCCTGATAGGCAAAGGCAGTGGGTCTACCCAGGCTGAAATTGATGCTTTTACTAAAATTCTTGAGCATCACTACTACTCAGGAGCCAAGCTTCTACAGAAAGTCTCTTAACTTCTCTGCCATGTCTGTTTCCTTATTTATAAAAACAGATGTAATAGAACTTTTGCTGGAGTGTTACTAAAAGCATGCATTTCTTCAGCAAACATTCACTGAACACCTACTATTTGCCAGTCTCTCTTCTAGATGCTGGGGAATCTACCATTGACTAAAACAAAAATTCTTGCACTTATATGTATTTAAGCACCCAAAGATATCACTTATAGAAACTAGTTCATACATGCCAGCCGTGTAGCTACTCTTGTGCTCCTATATGTGGTGGCATAGTTTTCATTAGAGGAAAATGTCTGGTTCCAAGCCTGGCCTCATCTGAGCCGATGCCCAGGTGTCTGTCTTCTCCATAACTACTCTTCTCTGCCCTCCCTCTTGTGGGCTGGGGTGCTACCTACTTTCCCCAAATGTGCCACCAATTTAGGTGTTAACCAGCACCACGAGTTTTCTAATGTCCTTTGACCCTTGGGGATCTTGCTTGAAAGAATCATATCCCACTTCCAACCCTCTCTTGCTGTAGAGCAGGGGGGAAGTTTCTAAGCTGCACAAAAGGAAGATAATATACCTGGGCCTGCAACCATAGCTACCTTATGAAGGGCTTTTGCACAGATGGTGGAAAGGTACCCCTTTCCAGGGCGCTGCCCTGCTGTTGGAGGAATGGGTAGTGCCTTTGTTCAAATTAGAACAAGATGTTCTTTCCCTTGAATTGGAAGCAAGGCAGGCCCGTGGCTGGGCGAGCAAAGCACGGGATGGAATTCATATACATATATATATATATA